TTAACTGAAAATCTTAACTGGAGGATTAAGTTTCTCCACTCATCAAGTTCAGAACTGACAGGGTGAAAGGGCTGCGTCAAGCCCTAGCCAAACAAAACCTGACGTGAGCTTTATGGGACGGAGTCACACGCTCAGTTCCTTTTTCTCTTGCAAATACCTTCCCCATGAAGAAAAACCTAAGGGCCACCTGCCATAGGCACACACAAAAGGGAGGAAACAGCACCGAGGGAGGGTGTGGAGTTTTAGCTGCGGAAGCTGGAGGCAAAGCAGGCAAAAGATAGCAGGACTGTCTCAAACAATGACAGCATAAGCAAGAGCTCTGCAGGTGGGCAAAGCCACACACACCCCATGGTGTGCAATACCAGGCACCACGTTCTCCTTCTCCGTGCCTCTGATGTTTCACAAGCCCTCCCCTGACTTCAGACCTGGTAGAAACCCAGAGCCAGCTCTCCCCTCAGAACACACCTGACTTCTCTAGGAGCCCCTGATGCTCATTCTCCCATACCTGACATACCAATGTGCAAGGAGACCCACCTGTATTGCCCGGTTCCCTACCTCCCCTTCCAGGCATTCATACCCCACAGTCCCCTGCAGAAGCCCTTCCTGGCCAGCACTTGTTATCCTGCCCCACAGTCCTCCTCTCAGTCATCATATCCCCTCTCAGGGAGTGACACCATCCAAGCTAGGGATCCAAGAGTTAGGTTAGATGCCACCCTGGTCCAACACTGTCCATTTCTAGGCGGGCACAAGATCCTTAGATGTCTACCTGCTACAACTCTGAAATACTTTCCACCTACCTCTTTCCCCAGCTGTCATCAACCAGGTCCTTCAGGTTTTATGCTTAGATCAGAATGGGAAAAGCCTTGGTACCTCTGGTTCAACTGGATCCTCTTCCAGGACATGACTACCTTCTAACCTCCGAGGTTCTGTTTGCTCAGGGCTCCAGCAGATGAAACTCGGAGAAAAAGAGCTGTGGACATTGTCATGTCAGCCAATAAGCCCTAAAGACCCGCAATCAACTGGATCAGTGCTTTTGATTATCATAATGTCTACCATAAAGAAGACTGAGTGCTGAAGAATTGATGCTTTTGAACTGTGGTGTTGGAGAAGACTCTTGAGAGTCCCTTGGACTGCAAGGAGATCAAAGTAGTCAATCCTAAAGGAAATCAATCCTGAATATTCATTGGAAGGACTGATGTTGAAGCTGAAACTCCAATACTTTGGCCACCTGATGCAAAGAGTTGACTCATTAGAAAAGACCCTGATGCTGGGGAAAATTGAAGGCAGGAGGAGAAGGGGACAACAGAGGATGAGTTGGTTGGATGGCATCACTGACTCAATGGACGTGAGTTTGAGCAAGCTCCGGGAGCTGGTGAAGGACAGGGAAGCCTGGTGTGCGGCAGTCCATAGGGTTGCAATGAGTCAGATACAACTGAGCGACTGAACAACAACTACAACAATGTCTACAACTGAATCAACCATGGTGGACAAATGTGGCTAAGAGAACAAAGAAATACCAAGTTACCAGAAATGTCTAAACCTCCAATACCTAAATAGTAAACCATTTCTAGAACAAGCACAAACTTCCTTACTATTAAAATACTCTGGCTTCACCTCATCTCAACAAAAACAAGACTAAGCCTTGCTATCACCTTCCCGTGAACCAATGCCAGTAATACATGACAAAATGATATTTTAAATGTGCCAATTTCTAGAAATGTAATATTGACCAACTTTGAGCAAAACTGTAAAACAAGCTTCCTGGACAATGTCAAAGCTTCAAAATGAGAATATCAATTTCCAAAAAGATGTCTTCCTGGGCCAGATCTAAGGAAGAAAACATGCAACTGAACATGACAGGAAAGGACCTAAAGATCCTCTGAAAGCAAATCAAGTCAATCCAGCTCGGAAGTACAAAAGCCAGCCTTAAGAATGTGATTCTCATGACACCCCAAAGATAGAACACCCAGGCCAGTACTGATAAACACCCCAGGAAAAGAGGAGCAGTGATCAAGAGAAGGATTCTCAGCAGTCCCTGTTTCTGTGTAGTACCTACAGAAGGATCTGGAGCTCAGAAAAGAACTAGTCCCAGGCTAAAATACTCATCAGTTCATCAAAAGCTCATACTTAAAAAGAGGGATCAATAAAACCATAATTATTGAGCATCTGCTATTAAAAAGGCAGTAATACCAAAGTAATGCCATCAGGCTGTCCTCTAAAGGTGAAATGTTTAGTTACCAACCAGTTGTTTAATTAGCACAATGCCAAGCAAAAAGGGCTGACAAATTCTTTCTCTGAATCAGCCTCATTAACTTTCTGGCTCTGCTCTTTTACAAACAAAGTCAGGATGAATTTCACAGACCCAAGTTTACACCAAAAACTTGACTTAATGAAATGTAAATGAAAAAGTTATTATCTTCTGTGATTTAGAAAGCAAGAATTTAAGAAGCATCTCAATGCAAAAAGTCAACTATAAAAAGTCAGGTGTAAAGCAGTCAAATTAAAAGGAAGTCATCAAATAATAGCGTCCTGGACCTCAGATCAAAGGAAAAGCAAATCTAATGGACCAAAAGTCAGGACGCCAAGAAAAATGATCAATTAATAATCAAATCTTCACATCTAAAAGAGAAGAAAATTTTTACCATTGGATTAACTAAACCACTAAAGTGGTTTCTAAAATCTACGCTTCCTGACAAAATCATGTAAGCCCTGGATTGATCATATGGCAGTCAACATCAAATAGCTACTGACCTACTTACACATATATGACCAAGTTTTCCTGGTATACCAAAAAAACCTCTTACTTGAAATTTTACCACTTTAAAGTAATTCATACTCTATTTGGTTCACCACAATGTTTGCTTGGCAACTACAAAGGAATTTAGGCTGCTAATGGTACTCGGTTCTTCTAGAAAGATAAAAAAAATGGGCAAATACACGTGTTTTAAATTATTTACTTTATTTTAACTCCCAGGTAGAAAGGAACAGAAGTGGTCACAAAGACTGTGTCTGGAAATGACCCAAGGGTTCTACCTTGCCAACTTGATACTTCTTTCACCTTTGAAAACCTGACTTTCTTTCTACAGCGAGTCAGTCTGCATTAGCCTTAAGTCTGGAGCAAAACCGTCAGACAGAGACCCTGAGAGTGAAGATGGCTAAGCAGTATGCCTGGATCCTGATGTTAGTAAGCTGCCTCGGGGTCCCCCTTGGTGAGCAGCATTTGGTCTCCAACCATGCGCATTTCAGAGAAATTGAAGGGAAGGAAAGAAAAGGAACTGAAATCTTTTGCAAGTAACATCTACTCTCAACCCTTAACCTGACATTAATACACTTTCATCTTTGAACTAGAGGAAGAGACAAAGAGACAATAACGAAGACAAATACAATATAGAACATTGGTTAAAGGTTGTGGAGTCGGAGAGACCTGAGCTTGAGTCGAGTCCCAGCCCTCCCTCTTCCTTTTAACCAGCTTTTTACACCTTGGCCAATATCTTAATCATCATGAATCTTTGTCTTCTCATCTGTAAAACAGAGTTAATAATACCCTACTGGTAGCTGGGAGGACTTTTTTTTTTTAAGATAAATATGTAGAGCACTTAGCATGCTGCCTGCCCCAGGGCAAGTAGTCAACATTATACAGTAGCTGAAGAAAGAAGAGGGGAAGGGGATGAAAGGAGGGAAAGGGAAGGAAGAGGAGGGGAGAAGGGACAAAAAAAGCCTTCAGGGTTCAAAGAACAGCCTACACTCACTCAGGACAGCACCTTAAATTCTTTATAATCAGTGTGAAAATATTTCCTGATGACCTACTACATAATCAGCACTGTGCTTCATTCAGAAATGAATGTGTCCCCATCCTCCTCCTCTCATGCTGTCTACAGTCCAGCTCAGGAAACAGAAATCACACGTGTGAAATATGTGAAAAATAACCCACATTGTACTAAGTTGTTAAATATTCCACATGTAATAAAGCAAGCACTGTGGTCATTTGTAGAAGGTGCCCAGTGAGCGCTGGCTTGTGGGGAAAGGGTGTGGGAGTGGGTGGTAGGGACAGACACAGATGTGAATGGACTTATAGGAGAAGGAGGCGGGTCACGTCCGGCAAAGAAAAAGTCATGTGTCCCAGACTGACTTTTGTAGAAGGTGCCCAGTGAGCGCTGGCTTGTGGGGAAAGGGTGTGGGAGTGGGTGGTAGGGACAGACACAGTTGTGAATGGACTTATAGGAGAAGGAGGCGGGTAATGTCCGGCAAAGAAAAAGTCATGTGTCCCAGACTGACTTTCACCCTGAAACTTGAAGCAGGGAGTCACGCTGGGGACAGGCAAAAAGCAGTGAGCACAAGGGCCATTCAAAGCAAAAATGGACAGGACTTTGGAACTGAATAAGAAAAATAAAAGAGAGAGGTCTGCCTGTGTCTCTTTTGGATTTCTCATTGCCGTTTGAGGCCAAGTGTGCTCATGTCTACCTTTCTGGTATTTCTTAGGAAAAAGCAAAAGCACACTCTTCTATCTCCCCAGATGGCAGCTGTCGTCGCCCTTCTCCATAACCAGGCTGCACAGGGCAGGGTTTCCAAGTGGAGGCTCGGCTGGGTCTGTATCCCAGCGCCGCCACTCACGAGCTGTGAGGCCTCAGGCACGCAAACTAACTCTCCGGGCCTTGATTTCCTTATCTGTAAAAGAGGGGTTAACCATGACATGCCTCTCACAGATTGTTGAGAGGATGAGTGAATCCAAGCATTTAACCGATTCCTTCATTGAGAGGCACTTATAACAGAGCCTGACACATAGGCCCCAACCCTGTCTTCAGTAATCATTACTCTTGCTGTATCCATTACCTTTAATCTTCAGCTAGAATATAGCCACAGAAAGTGCAAAGAATCATCTCACACATGACTAAGGAGGAGATATTGAGGGGAAATTCAACTTGGAATTGCAAGTTCACCTAAAACTAGTACCAATGGTGAAACCTCAATGCAAGACCCGGACAATCCAGGGGCTCCCATACCTGGCTTGGTGAATGGCCTCCATCCACTCTTTACCATCCTGCTCCTCCTCACAGCGCAGCTCTAGTGGTTTCTGACCTTCGTGGCCAAAAAGAACAGTAAAGTAATACTGGAAAGAAAAAAAAAAAGTTGCATTTAATTTTTGAAGCATAATAGCATAAAAACACAGTATTTCCCTACAAAACATATACTATGCTTACAAAATGCATTAGCATTATGTAAATCATATTTCAAAATGTAATAACACTCCCAGTCTACTTGGCAATGATTTTGCACCTAGAAGACACCATAGATTGCATCTTGATGTTCCTCAGTAAGATTCAACTTACAATATCTCACATACAGAAAAGGTATTTGGTAAAATTCTATACAAACACATGATTAAAATTCTTTGTAAACTCGAAAGTGAAATTTCTGAACCTAATGAGGGATTTCTACCAAAAACTTACTATAAACAATTCAACTAATGGTAAATTATTACAAGCAGCCCTTCTTAAATCAAGAATAAGAAAAATGGCAACTATCACCACTTCTAAATACCAATTCTGTCTGGAGGGCAACATAGAAAAATAAAGGAAAAAAGAAATGGAATGCAAGGGGGGGAAATCATTTTGCACAGATGATGTAAGTGCCTATACTAAAAATCCACTGAAACGCTATTAAAATAAGAACATCCCTCAAAATTATTGGATACAAAATCAATTTACAAAATGTATTGCACTTTGGTATAATATCAACAAATAAGAAACTTAATTTTGAAAACACAGCATTTGCAATAGCAAAGAAATATAAACAGTCGAAGGACCTAAGAAAATAAGTTTATCACCTCTAAAGAAAAAATTAATCTGTAATTTCAATATATTCTAATAAAATTACCAATAGGTTTTCTTTGGGTGGAATTTGACGAAGTGAACCTAGAATCTGAGTCAGGGACGGGGAAGGTGTCACTTTAAATCAGTCTGTCTGAGGCGAGATGTATTAATTACCAAGTTGAGACTGTCTGGGAAGGAAATATGACTGGAGAACTTTTTACTATACGAGAATGATCAGAAAATATACTGGGCCTGCCCACAGTTTCAACCTGGGGCCTGAAAATGACCAGTCCCACCCCGCTGCTGTGAGATTAAAAACCAAAGATAAAACCCAAGTTCTTTCTGTTGTCCCACCTTACCAGCCCCTGCAAACTTCTCTTTATTCAATATGATCATTATAGGCTCATTTTCTTCAAAGAAATTAAAAATACTCAGGACAAAAGCTTTTAATCTATAATAATACTCAATCACTATTTTTTACACTTGAAACCAATATAATATCATAAACCATTTATACTATAATTTCAAAAATCCTTCAGGACAACAATCCTGGAGACAAATTCTTAAAAACCCTAGAATTTTCAGCACAATTTTACAAAAAAGGCAAAAACTTGCCAAGAGACTTCTTGTGTTACCTCGGCATATATCATCAGAAGACTTGCCTGTGACAGAATCCACTGCACTACCCCACAGACAGGCCTGAGCCCATAAATGACAAGCTGTCTTTAATTCTTAAACCTCTTGTCCAGCCAGAGGACTAAATGCTATGAACTAGAGGGAAATAACCTGATGAAAAGGCCACTGAGAAGGGGAAGGATTGAGTTTAGTGCTGTATTCAATAAAGCTCCAGTTAAATTTGAGAGGAAAGGAATTGAAAGTCAACAAAATAACAAATCAGTGGTTTAAAGGGCAATCCTATAAGTGATGGCATTTCAGCAACAGCTGGCTACCATCCAAGGCCAGATGCCCAGTCCGGGAAGAGGAAACAATGAACCTGTTATTGAAAGGCTGCAACTAGCACCTCAACAGCAGCTGCTGCTTGGGAACCCAATTAAAACCCACCTTTAAAAGACAGCAAGGTAATTACATTAGCAGAAGTACATCCAAAGGTTAGACCATGTCTCAGGCATGCCAATGATAGAAAGAGTTTTGAGAGTACAGGTTACATTTCCAGGAGTTCACTTAACAAATTCAAATAATCAAAACACTATCTCTACATGTACCTGCAAATTATTCAGCCTAACTATTCATCAAAAAGCCTTCTTTGTGTGTTCTGGTCTTGCTCTGATATGAATTCAGTTTACGATGGACAAAACAGACACCTGAGTCCCAACTGACCTGAGAGAGCCTGGACCACAAGTGGCAGCAGCCACACACTTCAACATCAGATGATCAAGGCAGAACTAGGATAAATGCCAGACCCCTGTCAGCACCAGCAAGGACCACCCCCCAACGACTGATAAACATCCACGCAATCTCAAGGACAGGGAGCCCCCCATACTGAGATACTATCTTAGGGAGGCACCGAAGAAAGAATGAATTACTTTTTACTTAAATTGAAGAAAGTAGGGAAAACCACTAGACCATTCAGGTAGGATCTAAATCAAATCCCTAATGATTATACAGTGGAAGTGAGAAATAGATTTAAGGCACTAGACCTGATAGACAGAGTGCCTGATGAACTATGGACTGAAGTTCATGACATTGTACAGGAGACAGGGATCAAGA